CAAGCTGTGAGATCAGGACCTGAGCCGAAGTCGGACGCCCAACCGACTGAGCCACCCAGGCGCCCCAACAAATCACAGATTTATCCACATGCTCCCTCGTTAACTGATACGTTTCTCTCGACATGTGGTAGTGTCTACTTAATATGGCTCTGTCCCTTCGGTCACCTGGTCTAGCACCAGCTCCTTGAAATCCCATTCAACGCACCCAACCACCTGCCAGGGAACTGTGGGACTACTCCTTTTAGAAACTTTGTGGCTACTGAAGCCCTTAAAGAGAAACCTGGGTCTGGACCTCATGTCTTCAATTTCTAAGATATATAACCCTGGGCGGAGTCCCTTATGAATCTCATCCAACCCCTGCCTCGCTTTCCAAGGACCGCTGGAATAATACACGTGAAATACCCAGACAAGTGCCAGGCGCGTGGAAGCACTCAGCAGTCAGCCGCGGGACGGCACTGAGGCTGCAGGTAACCACCTCCCTTTTCATCGTCACTCAAGCCCAGACTCCAAGCCCTCGGCTTCCTCGGGCTGTCGAAGGCCTTCTTCGGGGGCACCTTGAAGAAAATCCCTCAGAAACTGCGCCTAGTGCTACCGGCATAAACGGATGGTCTGCATCCGTAACCAGGTCCTCGACGCTGCCAACAGCCTTCCGCTAGGCCAGAGGGCTCTCTCCCGTTCTTTCACACAGTGGCCATCTCAACTTGCGTTCGTTCTCGACAAATCTATCCCATGGCTACTTGTCTTCAGCACATGGCTTGCCCCCAGTTCCCAGAGCAACCAGAGGTCACTGCGTAGGAAACTCTCTCACTTTCTGGCTGTCACTCCAGGGATGTAACAACACTCATCCCCGTCTCCTTTCTGTCCCAGTGACAGGAGGAGTCCCTTTCCCGCTGACGGCGGATTTATCTACCTGCGCTCTGAATTCCACCTCTATTTTCCTCTATTTTCTTCCTCCTCAGGGGCCTTGCTGCTCTGCTGACTCCCATTCACTCCTGCATTCAGTCCTTCCCTCTTTACATCTTCGTTCAAACACGTGTGGAAACCTCTTACGTTCCCCTCCTGCTCCTGCCCCCCCCTCCTCTGCTATGGTCACTCTTACCCCTCCCCCCTCCTCGCCTCCT